CCCTAGATTTGAACCGTTCTTGAACCCTCTCAGAAAAGAAAAAAAACTAAATCACAAAGAATGATAAAAATTTCCAAAATAAGGGTGAATGTTGTGTGAGTTCTCTACCACGGCTTTTTATAATTTCTTAAAAATATTGAAGATAAATTAGTTATTTTAAGAAAATTCTACTCCAAATCTTAAATATCTGGTAAAGCTAGCTCCTTGCTTATAAATGCCTATAAAGCGCTAGGTGACAATTGTCATTAAGATTATATCTCATCATAACCCTCTTGGTTGACTTGTGGGGATTATCGCTCTTCTGTGATGTCGACAGCGAAATAGTTAGGAGTTTTTTATTTCGGTTAGATTGGGCTCAGCCCTCACCGAGCCTACTTAAGCTCGAGCATCTTATGAAACGCACAGAGGTTGGCTCAAAATCAGAACCCTAGATTGGCTTAGCCTTGCTTATAATATGCAGCAATCCAAGGAAGACCAGGGGGAACAGGAGAGAGAGGGAGAGAGAGAGAGAGAGATGAAGAGGGATGGGCTGTTGGGGTCGAGGCATAACCCCCCAGCGAATATTGTATTCATCGGTGCGGCATGCATCCTTGTAGACGTATGATTTTCCTTTAGCTCTACGGCAAGAAAAAATAATTATCAAACTCTCCTGTCGAAATCTATTTTCAAATTAAATTTGACGGATAGACTTTCAAAATTGATCGGGTTAACAACCCATATTTACGGAGAAACTTATGATTAGGATGTAATGAACCTATTACACAGAGCATGCTAAATGTAGCTTGACCTTCCCGCCCATGAGATATCAATCCAATAAAGAGGTCAAACTGGAGTAAATTTACTCATAACTTAAGGGGTGATCTACAGTTTTTAATAGATTTCACATGTAAGAAGTCGGAGGCAGGAAGCGTGGGATCGTTGAAACGCGTACCCGTTCAACCAGGAAACAACCAGCTTCCACTCTTCAGAGAGAGAGAGAGAGAGAGAGAGAGAGAGAGAGAGAGAGAAAGAGAGAGAGTGGGCGACACTTATTTATGTATCTTCTTAAAGTATGCAATCACTACTCATTCCCACTCGAGATGCTCTCCCTCTCTCTCTCTCTCTCTCTCTCTCTCTCTAGCGTACACACAAGCCTACATCTGTCTGCAACCATCTACCCATCTCTATCTATCGATTCAAGTGCCCCGGTTGTTTCCACCTCTCTTGAATGGCTCAACACGGAGACCCTATAAATGCCATTTGGTGCCTCCCCAACCCCTTTTCAATGCAAAACCGTCCATATTCAAGCCCATCCAAACCCTCCCTCCCTCCCTCTCTCTCTCTCTCTATATCCTATATACGTAAGACATAAGAAGAATATGATATCAAAGAGGAGACGTGTGTTGGCGTTGGTGCAGTTGTTGCTGTATATATCAAGTGGCGGTCTCGTCCCTATCTTGGAAGAAAGACAAGGCTTGAGGAGCATTAATGGAGGGTCGGGGCGACTTAAATGCCCCGGAGGGCACCATCACCTCTCAGTGGAGCTTCGAAGATAGGAGCCTCGTTAGGGTCGAAGACAAGAGAGAGTCCGGTGGGTTTTACCGGTGCACCGGCACATACGACCGGAGTTCCGTAAAGCGATGTCGGGTTTGCCGACTCAGCACCGGGTTTTTAATAGCTCGCTGCACGCGCTACGCTCATCACCTGTCCGTCACCCCCCTTCTTTCTTATAACACCTCGCCACGCCATGGATTGCATTTTATACGTTTCTAAAGCGTTCTCGGGTTTTCCGCTTTTGTGTCCATCTGGAAACTTGTCTGGCTTCCATTTTAAATCTTAGAAGCTATCCAATTTAGGCGATTTCGGAATAAATACGTTGCATTTTAAAGTATATTTATAAGAGGCTTTAAATGAAAGATAATCACAAGTCTAGCCTATGAGAACTAAAATAAGGTATTGGAATATGTAATAAAGTACTTTTTACTTTCTGAAAATCATTTTTCAGAGGTTTTTTTACCTTTTCCCAGTAAAGAGGAAATTCTTAAACAAGAAGGTAGACCTTATAAATGATATAAACGGCCGAGGTGGTTGTTATCATATGCCTACCAGGGTTCTAGGATCCCACCTTTTAAATTCACGCCTCCTTATTAGTCAACTGGGGGACTTGATGAATCCCGTGGGGGTCAGCACTCAAAAGGGGGGGAGCAGCTCACAGCGGTGGTCTTATCTCACCGATATTCCGGCTCAATTTCTTCCACCTCCATTAAATACCCACAATTGGGAGCCATCTCTTTCCCATCACTCCATTTTTTTTCATGTTAATCTTTTTCATTGAATTATTAGATTTTGTTTTAGTATCGCAGGTCTGTACGGATGGTTATTACAACTTTTACATGTTCTGCGCTTAAATATCGACATTTTGAACTTAAAATACCCGTAAAATGTTTATCGAATTGGTCTTCTTATCTCCACGAACCTCGCCATCGCTTGAGAAATAAATTCTTTATCTTTTAAAACGGGAAACTCGCCAATTTCATCATGATAAACTTATCGGGGTTAGAAAGTTTCTTCTGACTCATCTGGAGGTCGTAATTGGAACAGAAATAAAGAAAACTACTCCTTAATGTGCGAACCCACGCCATATTTTCGTATTTAAATAGACCAAGTATAATTATCTAGATCATTATGTTGCAGTGACACACGGCTCTTCCTCAGACCGAAGAAATCCTAACCCTCGTCGCTTACTTATTTGGGAAAAAGGAAACAAGCAGAGCCCATCTTCTCGGCCTCCTGGTTTCTCTATTTCTTCTGTTTATTCATTCAAATCAGTTTCTTTAGAGGTTCCATGGTCGTGCACGCGACATTGAAGAAAGATGAGCTGTTCTTACTTCGCTGGGTATCTAAACATCATGATCATCATCATCGTCATCATCGTGGGGTGATTGGGGTCAATTGAATGCCAGAGGAGTCCAAGGGCGGAGGAGCGGGGTCAAGGGCCTCAATAACTCTTCTTAAATGATATGCTTTAAAATCTCAATGGGGAAGAGGGGGGGACGGCTTTGTGGAAAAAATATTTAATGCAGACGGACAGTGGGGCCCAGAATTAAATGGACGGCCTTGATTTGGTCACCTGCTTTTTCTGATGGGTCCTCTCGAGAAGTACGACGCGCAATTGCCCGTGACATTAATGCGGACACATGTATAGAAAACAATATTTGGTGAAAAGTTTTTCGCAGAGATCGTTGAGAAAATCTCTGTTTTTTCGGCTAGTCCAAATATAATATTTTCGTAGCTCTACATACTATTGGGGGGTATTCTTGCAGCAATGTTAGGTATTTAAGAGTTTTTAAAACATATAAATTTAACCATAGTGGCTGATATATGTCTAAGTGTGTCATCTTAAATTAAATTTGATGTTCTAATTCGTAGTGATATGTTTCTTAAGAATTCCAAGTGTATTATTTGCCCAAGACTTGCATGTCGTTGACGTCAAGTTCAACCACCAACCATCTCCACCTCACCCATAATTCTCATATATCTATGTTCAACCAGTCAAGCGTAGACTTATCTGTACTTCAATTCTGGATAAAAAGGAAATTCATCAACAACATCCCCAGATGCATGTGAGTTGATAAAAACCTGACACAGAGTTTTTCTAAGATTTTAGTGGCCATAAAGTGGATTTTTATAGGACTTGGTAAGTAAGAAGGATTGCGGACCATTGAACACTATTTGATATGAAATCGATTATAAATTAATTAATGTGATAATTCAGGGATCATCTTATCATAATGGTTCATACTTACTGCGTATTATTTCATTTATAGTGAGGAGGATTTCAGTCCGCTGAATTTGTCTTTATATGATGTTATATCATCTTTAAATTACTACATCTTAAAAGTAAAATTTACCTAACCATTTTACACATATTTAGAATTTTCATATGTAAGTCATTTTCAGTTAGTGGACAGCACGGCATTTATAGGTTAATGCAACAATTGGTAGATCTTACAAATTTTATAGTTTGTATTGTATTACAGATGACTAAAAATAATCAGCATAGAAATGTTGAATTAATAAACTACTTAAGATTGATATATGCAAAAGCATCGGAGGCATTTTTATTCTGATAAATTCCGTAGAGAAGATTATGGCCTTTTTTGATTTGTTACTAATATTATAAGAGATTAGCAACTTATGTGAAAAATAATTTCTTTTTATGATATATTCTTGATAATGATAAATTCTATCTGGCATAGAATGGATTGTTTATTGGATGGTGATAGCCTGGTAAATCAAGTTTTCAATAATGGAATAGGGGTTCAAATAATCAATAATTTTTTAATGGAAATAGTTATAACCAACCTTACTCAAATGAATGACTTGTGGGCATCAACAATAGTCTTATGATTTTGATTGGACTTAAAATATCTTCTAACAATTTCCGTAAATTAAATTCGTGACAGTGTTCAACTACAAGTCTTTAATGGAATCACGATCTTGGCGAGTCAACTAGTGATCCTTCAATTTAATATGGTGTCCTATCAATCATATTAACGAGCTGTTAGTGTTAGACATGAATATGGATGAAGATATCGATTATTTTTATTACTAGCATTGTTGACCAACAAATTCAGCTCTAACCATCATCCTTTAATTTAGTTTTTACTTAAAAATCATATTATAGGATCTGTGCAGTAAGTCATATTAAATAAGTCAAAGGATATGAGATGTTCTCATTGTAAGTTCAATGCTATGAGCTTTGACCAGGACATCCATGTTACCCGTCAACTTCACGAGCAAGGAGGGGGGAAGGGGGGAGGAGTAGTTGAGATGTGAATGCCTTTATTGTTCTCATCGACTCACATAACTACGTGAATTCAATGGACGAACTTGGAACCATTACTTAAATAGAGGTCATCCAACGTCAGGTGCCTCGTAACTGCACCCCTCTCCTGCCTCTTCTTCCGCCTCCGCCTCTTGGAATTTCTCCGAGTTCTTCTACGGGGGATCGGTCTCCAATGGCAGCGGACGTAACCTCTCTGGTGAGTCTTCTCGCCCGCTACGACAAGGAGAACGGTGGAGGCGTCGTCACGGCGGCGGGGTCCAAGAAGGAACGCCACCTTGATCCAGAAGACCGAGATAGACTCCCCGAGTTCCTGGTAATTTTTCTCCACCTTCGATTTCCCTACAACTCCATGCTTGTTCATGTGGATAATTCTTTCATCCTAACCCTTCTATGGAATTACAGCGCCGCCCGAGCAACAGTTTGCAGGACCTCAACCTTCCACCGCCGCCGCCGCCGCCGCCGACGACGACTACAGTGCTCAACGTGGCTGACCATCCCTCCTCCGCTCTCGACCTGAAACTGCGCGCGCTAGCGGCGGTGCCGCAGGCGGAGTACCAGAGCGTCTGCACCCTAGAGAAAGTCAAGTCCGCCCTTGCGCGGGCCGAACGCGAGTCCCACCAGAAGCTGCACCGGCCGGACCCGTCGGGAGGGTCTACATCGCCGGCGTCGTCGTCTACAACCACTTCTTCGGCCAAGCGGCGGCCCACGGAGGACTGCGATGGTGACTCTACGTGCTCGCCGCCGGGGCTGGAAGGCGGCGCCGCCGCAGAGATGGTGGCGGCCGGTTGCCCTAGCTGCCTTTTATACGTGCTCATATCGCTGTCTAAGCCGAGGTGCCCCCGCTGCAACTCTGCGGTGCCGCTCCCTCTCCCGAGAAATAACTCTGCGGCCCAGAAGAAACAGAGGATCGACCTCAACGCCCTCAGCTCCGCCGCCACCGCCACCACCAGCGCTCCGCTCAGAACAGTGAAGTTCTTCTGATCTTCGTCCCCGTTCTTCGATCGAGTCACCCGGAATAGGAAGCGACGGCGGCCCAGCCAGGGAGCGAAAAGAAAAGCTTAGCCTTAGACTTATTTCTTGAATCTTTCTTCATTCTACTGAGATCCTGGATCGCGCAACCTTCTGTAAATGATGGTATAGGACGGGAAATGGGTTCATCGGTGCCTGGAAACGTCTCTCATACAGTGTTGGTATCTTGTCGGTGCGCAAGGCGATGTATATATGAGGCTGATGATAACGATGACGATGCTGGTATTCTGGACCATTGCTGTAATAATTTGGACAACTCTTGTACACGTTACTTGAATGATTCACCGACAACATATATGCAGAAGTCTTAAAGCTTTCATCGTCGTCTTTCTCCTCCTCCTTCTCCTGGGCAGGGCCGGGGTCTCATCAGACGAGGTCCCCCCGGTCGTAGACTCCTCTCCTGAGAGCCCTGCCTGGGTCCCGGACGCCAATCCTTAAGCTCGGATTAAAATCCATACATATATTTTCCAAGTAATAATAACCCACATATTTTTTTTTAATAAACTGAGGATTAACCTGTATTAATGTAATACTTATAATGTTTTTATTACCAAAAGAGACCCACCCTATCTCAGAATTATTTTCACCCTGCAAGATGATGAGAATAAGTACTAAAGAACTGATGTGCCCTTTCAATCTCTTCTCCCCAACTCTTTCTCCTTTCAATTAAATTGACCTCCCTCGCAAATTACTTCCTAAACTATTCATCAGAGATCGTAGGAGGTAATCTTGGTCTCCCATTCTAAACGGCGGCCGCACTTTGGGCGGGCAGCAACGAAGAATTATTCAAGGAAACGACCACTTTCTGATAGGGGAGGTCATGTGAACTTGGAGAGAATATGGGATCCAGCCGCTTTCCATTGAATTCTCATACTTATTTTAGAAAATGGATTTGAAGATGTGGATGCTATAATAATATGTGGCCGGTCAATTCGTTCGTGAAAATACTGTTCTGGGTTTTTCTGAGATTCTGTGGCATAAAAGTCGGGGAGTGATTAGGTCTTTCGAATTTATGCGAGCATTTGACAGACGAGTCTTCTAGGAATCACACATCTTTAAATTCCACAAGGCCGTCTTATCCAATGGGCCCGGGAGGGGGGAAATTATGCAATTATGTCCTAGATTAACTGAAATTGTCCGACGGACCCTTTTAGGTTGGCTTCTTCGCCGGTACCGTTGCTCCGGGGATGGCCCAATTGGGATATTGAGCTTTCCAATTGTTGGGCCCATCAAGGAGATATCAAGGGCCCATTTACAACGAGCCCGCTATAGAAGCGGAGGAGATCTTTGAGCCAGGCCCATTAAAGTGGATGTTGGGCCTCATCGCTGGGCTTCATGGATGACCGTTGCGGCGGCAGAAGAGGTGTGAGGTCAGCTTAACGGTCACCTTGCTGCCCTGTTACATCCACACATCTCATCCACTCTGTCTCCTCCCCCCTCCCCCAACCTTCTCTAACGGCTCGTAGAGAGAAAATAAAAATCGAGTTTTTAGCTATTATGGGTCATCCTAATTTTTAAATAGATGCTTAATAAATTAAGTAAATAATCTTAAAATCCCAATCTCTCTCTCTCTATCTCTCTCTCTTCCCGCGTGTAACCGACTCCTGGGGACGGCCTCAAATCGTTGGCAACCAGGGACCGCATGGTGGCCGGGGAGGCCGTCGCAGGAGGGCCGCGGCGGACGCCATGCCGAGCGGGGGAAAGAAGGGGAGGCTCGGGGGGATTTCCTGGCTCGTCCCCTCCGACCAGCGGCCCAAGCCCAGGCGGACCGACGGCAACCGGGCGGCGCCGCCGGTCACTGGGCACGCGGGTTTCCCCACCTCCGTCGCGGAGGTCGTCACCAAGAACAACTCTTGGGCGAAGAAGCCGCCGCCCCGGTGGTTGCGGAGCTCCAATGCTGGTGGCGGGGAGGCGGGTTTTTCCACCATGGCCACGCTCGCCGCCGTGATCATGGAGGCTTCCGCGTCCAGCGCCGCTTCCCCCCCCGTCTCGCCACCGTCGCCGCTGCAGCCCTTGTCAACGAAGGCGGAGGACCGGGCTTCAGAGGCCTGGCCGCTCCTGGCGGCGACTTGCCGAGACAGAGGGAGGAAAGGTGAGATTTTCCCGGGGCTTCGGGCTTTCTCTCCGCTGGAGGCACCGATCAATGAGTTCTCCAAGGGATTCCCTGGATCGATTTACAGGGATGAGGGGATTCCTCAGATCTTCCCCAGAACCGAATTTCTCGAGGAAGAGGCCCATCAGGCCTCTCCGCGATCGAAGAGGGAAACTCTGGAAAATCATAAGTTCAGAGACCTCGGGGTCTCGGTTGGGGAAGACGAGCCAGAGAAGAAGCTACTCGAAGTCGGGCGACGAAGATGGCTGCTGATCCTTACGAGGTTGCTGATCCTCGTCGTCTTTCTGACGATCGGGAGTAAGAAGATTGCACTCGGTATATCGATTTCCGCCATGGCTGCTCTGTTCGTCGAAGCCATCTTCAAAAGCTTCCTCCCCTTCCTCAGAACCTGGGAGGAAGCAGAGAAAAGCCTGAGGTCCGCCACAGGCGGCATCTCCATTCCAGGTGTCCCCGCCCCGCTGCTCGACGTGCCGCCGGGTTCGAGCGGCGGCGAAGAAGTCGCCGCCGAGTCGCCGGCGGCTTATGAGCCTGATCTTGGGTCTGAGTGGAGTTGGGAGGCGAGGGCACCTCTAGAAGTCTTGTTTTCCCCCGCGCCGGTGGCGGCTTCAGCGGCGGAGGAAGACCGTGCTGAAGAGGAAGGTGGGCAGAGTCTGGGGAGGGTACACCGCAGGTCGAGTGGGAAGACGAAGAAACTGTTGAAGAAGCTGGTGCGAAAGAGCTCTGCGGCACCCAGCGTGGAGAGAGAGGAATGATAGGGGAAGGAGTACTGTCTACCGTGGTGATCTTCTCTCTTAACCCTGAGTTGCCCTTACACACCATGAACAACCAAGTCAATCACGGTTTCATGAGTCCTCTACGTCATTTACAAGCATTCATCAACTCCGCGCGGCAGATAGAGTGAAACCAACCAAAAAAAAGGAAAAGGATTTCAAAGACGCAGGAGATTCATCTGAGGGCAGAAGGGTTGGTGGGTCTGATTGTATTCTGAACGGTGTTGAAGCTAAGCTAAATCAATGGTGCAGTGGAACCTGATGACGAAACCTTGCAACTGGAATCATCTCTGTCCTCGTACTCTCCCAGATTTATTATCGACTCACTAAATGAATATATAAATTTTCGCATCATTTTTCGAATCAATCTCCCTGGCATGCAGACTTGCAACCCTTTTGTCGATGATCATGCTTGTCGATGATCTATAGCTATATCTATATCCATATATGTCCAGATATTTATATGTTTATGTAGTAGTTGGCTACTTGAGAAATGGCCATTTACGGAGAATTATGATTATGAAAACCTTCTCTTTTTCTTCCAAGATTCATTTTAATTTGTGTATATTTCCATTGAATAATAAAAAGTGATGACTGCGAAAATAGCCCTCCCATAATCATAAATTATCTAATTTCTATTTATGGAAAATTAAATCTAACTCCGAAGAAATTCTGAAGTGAATTTCTGGCTTAGCCTTCATAAGACACCTTAATTTCTCAGAAATCATTCAGAAAAGTCACAATGTTATTATAGGTTCCGAATTATAATTAAGAATTATTAGATTGGTTAAGAAAACTTAATTGGGGATAAAATCATAAAAGATGGGTGACCCTCAGGAGGTTTGGGGAAAGGTAAAGCTTATAGATGAGTTAAAGGGTTTGACACTGCCCTATCAGGTCCAATAATGGTTAATGATCGTTGTTGTTCGGGATTAAGACAATTGTGATTTCACCTACCATTGACGATAAATCATTGAGATTGAGGGGGAAGATAGGGAATACTTTCAATGAAAAAGATAAATGATATAACACTCCTACGTTAGAAAGAAAATTTGAAACTTTGGTATTACTAACATGACTACATTGTATTCATTGCCTATTTCAATTTAGGTTGGATGACTTAAAATAAATAACAATATATGTTGGGATACTTATATCACATAAGATGTAAGAATATCGGTGATATTTAAAAGTGATATCAATTTATAAAAATTGTATAAATAAGACTACATGATCATATGATTTTTGTTACACTATCCAATTGTGATTGGATTTGAATGAGATGATAAACAAGTTTTCTCAAAGTCTATACTTCAAAGTCATAGGGTTTGCATATATGATAGGCTTTAAAATAGTAAGATATCACACTCTACTCATTACTATTTCATTTTGAGTTAGATGGACCAAAATTTACTCTAGTATGGACCCTTTTCAAACACTATCACTTGGCTAAGTAAAGATGAAAACAAAAGTATAGAAAAAAATGAATTTCAGGCCTTAAGTACACAAGGCAAATTTTTTGGAGTTAAGTGAAAATTATGCCTTGAATCCACAAGGATTGATTCAAAGGATCTTTAAGTCCACAATGATAAGAAGAATACCTTTGAATCCACACGGATCAAAATAACCCCCTTGAAGCCACAAGTGTTGCTTAAATCCACAAGCAAAAGGAAAATATCTCAAAGATAATCAAAATCGTAATAATCAAATTCTCCTCTAGAGTTCAAGGATACTATCCTTTTGTTATGACTCTTCTAGAAGATTGGATAATTAAAGAAAATAATTTTAAAATGATCTAACAACAGAATAGTTATTAAAACCGAAATTGACATGTTTCTAACTTGATTTATTTGGGGATAATGGCATTTTGGGCTTTTAAACATTTGTAGTCCATGTTTTTACATTTTCATGACAGCTATGTTTAAACTTTCTTCAGCTCTCCTTTTTTGAAGTCATGTGCTTCATCAAAAGGCAACTATAAACTGTTGGAATATATGAATTATTGTGTACAAATAAAATAAAATTGTGCTCAACCACCAATTTAGATCACTACCGTTTGAAGAGGCCATACTTTATTTGAATGTTGACAAGTTTATGGACTTTGAACGGGTGTTATTGACATTTAATGTCAACTTATTTCAAGAGTTATTGATTTATTTGAATGAACTGAACAAATAATATCATAGTTATTTGTTTAATGAACAATAATTCAAGCACTTGTACCTGTTCCCCTATGGTTGTGTAACTCTAATGACTCTAGACTGTTTGAGATTTTGACTCCACACTCTTGCAAGGAAACCATTTTTGTCTTTTTCTTGAGCTTTGGTCAATCTTATTCAACTTACAAATTTACATTTAAATAAACGGGTTGATCAGTGTTTTTGGAAGATCCAAATAGATGGCCCTAAATTGCTTCCAAACAGGATAATAAGTTAGATTTATGGTTTAGGAGAGATTAATAGAATTCCATAGTTCTTCAAGTACAAAGATAATTTTTTTTATAGGGCTTCTGATCATTTGTGTATCATAAATTGACTTCTTTTGGTTTATTATCCTCGCGTAAATTTTGAACTGCCTATAAGTCCCCATTTTTGACTAACGATTATGATTCCGCCAAATCATTATAATCGGTTATTAGAAATAGGGAAAGGAGTGAGGGGCCGGCAGGCCGTAGACGGTTGGACCTACAGGTGCTGGAGCGCTCGGTGGAAAGGGGCAATGAATAGGCGGAGCGTGATGGAAATCCGGAGGGAGATGGTGCTGGGGGATCCGGTTTAAGAAGCCAGTGCTGGGGGGTGGGGGAATGGGAGATGGTGTAGATGGGTATGTTGTAGGTCGCCCCTTATAGGGAATTTTAGGGTTTTGAAGAGTTAAGGGAGAGAGGATGGGGGGGGAGTTGGGAAAGTCTGGTTGGGGTCACCATTGCTTTGAGTTTGGGTTTGTTTCACCAGTAAAGCGATTACGAGAAGGATGAAGAAAATGGGTTAACTGGGAAGAGAGGGCTAAGCGCTAGGGGAAGATTCCAGGTGGTAACCTGCTGTCATCTACAACAGGAAAGAAGCGCATTTAGATTAATGGTTAGTTATACATCAGAGTTAATTACGGTCAACTCAAATTATTCTTAGGTGGAACCCATCTTAAAGGACAATGGTACTTTTAGAAAGATTTTTTTTACCAGAATTTCGTCTTGAGTGCGTGAGAGGGAGAGAAAACGAGAGCGAGGGGAGGGAGAGAGAGAGAGAGAGAACGCAGGAACAGTCCTCAGAAATGCTCATTAGTAATACCCAGTCTGCGTCTCGAGCACGAACATTATTCTACCTTCCTCCTTATTCTGAGCGTCTCCCTCCCACAGAGACACGAACGACCGACAGACAGGAAGGGCCAGGGACGGCTTGCGGAGGCCTACTTGAACTGGTTGTAGGGATCATACCCATAGAGAGGTCCCTGGGTCCAACCAGTCCCGTCCATGTAGTAGTCGTCAGGCATGAACGTCCCATCGGCGCGGCCTGCCCCGGCGCTGGAGCTGCTCCCGGCGTCGTCTGGGTAGTAAAAGGGTGCGGTACCTTGGGGGCCCATCATGTTGTACATTGGCGGTGCAGGCGGTTGGTACATGCCGGCGTTGAGCGGGGCGGGTGCGAAAGCTGGCGCGGGGGCCATAGGGGGCAGCGCGCGCGAGCCTAGCGGCAGCGGGTCGTGGCGGCGGATGCCTTCAAATTCCCGGTGGCGCTGGAGGTAGAGGCTGAGCGGTTCGACGTAGTCGGTGAAGCCGAGCCTGCTCATGGCCCATATAAGATCCTCCGGGGTGATGGTCTTGCGCTGCTCGTCGTGGCAGCGCTGGTTCGCCTCGGCGGTGACATAGGAGATGTACTCGGAGACGCAGTCCTGCATGGCTTCCTTGGCATCCTCGGAGATTTTTGCGTGGCTGGGAAGGACCTTGCGCATGATTCGGATCACGTTGGCGATGGGCATTTGCTTCTCCCCCTGGTTGACGGCGGCCACTCCGCCGGGCACTGCTGGCGCCGGCTCGCCCTGTGCTGCATCGTCGTTGTCGCTGCTGTTTTCGGGGTCATTCTCCTCGGCGTGGGCGGGGTTCTGTTCAGACTGGATCACAGCTGCCATGGTTCGGGAAGTGAGATCGGCATGCCATAAAGATGATTCAAACATGTTTTCTGGGATGGAAGATAACATCAAAGATGATAACCAGCATCGCGTTTAAATTGATAGTGGAAGGGAGAGAGCACTTTAAGCGGATCGTCATTGGCGACGTTTGAAAAAACCACATAAAAATTTATTATGTTAGGAGGCATAATTCATGTGATTGTAACATAGATTTTAGAAGGAACCTACCATAGTCGCATCAAGATCTACACAAGGTAAGACAGGGAGAACGAGAAGAACTTTATTTCTTATGAAGCCATCTCATATGTGAGAGAAAAACCAAATAAACTACATGCATTGCATATAAAAGAAATATATATTTGATCGAAATATGGGCGTTGAAGTGCAAGACAAGATCCATTTAGATAATTATCATCACGGATAAATCCACACCGTGAGAGGAAGAAATAGAGGGAGATCCCTCTGACGTATTATCTTAGCAGATCGCAGTTGATGTGATTTTAATCGAAAAAAAAGCAGAAAGCGTGATTAAAACATGGGTTTCGAGATGGAGGACAAGATTTATAGAGCTAGGCAGCATCAGATTTAAACCCACGCGATAAGAGGGAGGAGAACCCTAAGACGAGTGTAATCGCAGATCACAACGCATGGCCCTTTGAAAACCGAAGAAAGATCTGTAATAGAAAAAAGGATTACATATTTGTTAAAAAACATGGGTTTTGAGATCGAAGTTGACATCAGCACAGAAGAGAGGGAGAGAAGGAATGGTAAGAAGAATCTGAACACCCAACAGTAAAAGCCGCTGCTATGGCGCCTGAAGAGGCCTATGTCCGAGGATCGAAGAGTCCAGGACAAGTCCTAAAAGCCGCTGCTATGGCGCCTGAAGAGGCCTATGTCCGAGGATCGAAGAGTCCAGGACAAGTCCTCTTCTTTTCTTTTTCACCTGGTTCCATGGAGATGAAGACAAGGCCCTCGTCCTCGGCCACAAGAGGCTTGGAGATCATTCTACAAACGTTAGGATCTATTACAGATAGAAAAAAATGACGAATATATCTATCTGTAAACACTGAAAGAGGAAAATAAATATAAAAAGAACCATAAGAAGAAAGAGATATTCCGCTGGAAGAAAGAAGAAATCAGATCAGCAGGTATCACTGATATTGGTTCTGGGTTCTCGGGAAAGCATCTACAGAAACTAAAAGCGGTGGATGGCAAGCGAAAAGGATAGACAGTGAGAAGAAAACAGTGAGAAGAGAGATCGGAGTGGAGGGAAAAAGCCACCGGTGAAATGAGCCACAGACGATGAAAAATCGAAGAAGACAACCGATGGATAACTGACGGGAGAGAGAAAGAGAGAGAAGCGACGCCTTACGAGCTTTGATAGCCTCGGTGACGGGCATCAAAGGATAAGGGTAGCCATCTCCTTCCATCTCAACCCGCCTATTTCTCCACTCCGTCTGATATGACAAAGTATGGCGAGGAGGACGGCTCGAAGGTGACCTATTTATAGGCCGCATGGATGGGGGGGGTTTTCCATATGACAAACATTATGGAGAAATTTTATTAAAACATTCAGAGAATGCTGGAAAGACTAATAGTTTGAGCGAAAATTATCTAATTTTGAATAATTTAAATTTAAATTTAACTAATCTTCCTTAAAATTAATTCCACATTTTCCAATGGATCAATATTTTGATAAAAAAATACAGAAAAACGTGTCAAATTCAAAATAGCTTCAAAGCATCTGACATCTAGCTATACGACTCTTCAAGATTATGGATCTTTATATTAGAATATCATGTATCAATCCATTTTCTATTTAGAGAATTAACAAAACAAGAAACAATTTATATGCAACATATGTGTGTACTATCTTAATGCATATGTATGTGCGCATTTGTCATCATTCACTTTAAGTAAGATTGGAAATTTTTAGTTAAGACAATTGCTCACGTGTGGTTGTTCCGCTAACATCGACCATTAACGAAGTTCGTCAAAGCAGTGGTAAAAGCCAATTGTCAATCTATAATCAAGTTTGAACAATATTCCGACAAAAGACGCTTTTCAAAGTAATTCAAGATGAGTGAAGTGTGACTGAATATGGTTAGTCATGATACACACTAGTAATTGCTGAAGAAACTTCGGCATGAATATGTGTTATCACTAGTTTAAGGGACTAACACATGGACATTCATTTGCATGAGAAGATTTGTCAAAAAAGTTTCCCTGAAAATTGTTGAAATCATATTACTAGGAAAATCATTAACACTCTTACATTGTCTAGATGATGATTGTGCGGTTATGTGGTCAATTACACGTCCATTTTATTTTATCTTACATAAAATTATATTTTTAATAAAATATCTCATTAGAAGAACATATTTAAATTTATGACATTTCTCCCGAATCCTAACAAAATGATCAATGCTTGAGATTTAGTAACTCTCGTTTTGAAAGGAGGGCCCACGTGACTACATTCTATCCTTGACGCGAATCACCAAGTTGACCAGAAACGGTCGTATCTGTGACAATAAATGTTATCTCAGGCGCCATCTTGAATTGAACGGGTGGCTCAAATCTTATCACCGTTGGCGCCATTTAGCCAATAAAGGATAAACCAGGAAGAAAACGAAGGAAAATCACTGAGCACATCGGAACCGGACAAAAACACAGTCATAGATGAACGCAGAAGGGAAGACGTCCAGATGTCCTCTTACAATACTGTTCGGAGTAACAAATGCCCCTAGGTTTAGACATCAACATCTGGTTTTTGATTCGATTGCACATCTCTCTCTCTCTCTCTCTCTTTATCTATGACGTCTCCCCCTATGTCTCTCTATCTTTCTCTCCCCATATTTCTCTCTGGTTCCATGAGCATATGCAGACGCTTGCTGGAAGATAGAAGCAGAATTACTTCTTTAAATTTTCTCCCACGTGAGTCTTATCTTGAGTTCAGGGAACCAAAGAAATCACGTCTTTTACTGGAGTTTCTTCGACCAGCTCGAGGGGAGTAATTGCTGTCTTGTGCAGAATTTATGGCGTCTTCCAGAGAAAAATAGACGCTTCCGAAGACAAGAACGTCAGGCTTCTCATTTGGATTCCCCTTCCGCAGTGGGAAAGCACTGGTTTTCGGAGAATCATAAGGCGAAAGTGCTGTTTATCCCGAGAATATGCTCTCTCTCCCTCTCTCTCTCCCCCTCTCTCTCTCTCTCTCCCTCTCTCTCTCCCTCTCTCTCTCCCTCTCTCTCTCCCTCTCTCTCTCTCTCTCTCTCTTTCTCTCTCTCTCTCTCCCTTACTGTTTTCCACTACTTTCCATTTCTGTGCACTGCCGGTTTGGCCTTACTTCTGGTCTCAGGTTCCCCCTGTGCTGCCGGCCTAAGTAACTTTACGAACACTTGCTCGTACCTACTTTTTTATATTCCTGAGAAAATATCTGTTTGTAACAATTTCCTAAAAATAGATTTCAAATCTTTGTTCGCGGAATGCTACTTGGTGTACTGAAACCGTTTCCAACATAAAACTGTCATTATTACCTTCAAAACTAGTTGCTTGAAACATTTGTTGAAACCGCATTATCAAATTATGATTGTTGACATCCAAAGCCTATCATTCATCCAATAAGTTCATTGGTCTTTAAGAAATCTCTATTAAAAAGTTTAAGATTGATTGTGCAAAACTATGGGTGGCATAAATGTTAGAAAAATATTTCCCCATATGGCCTCCGATAACCTAAAAGTAGTTTCACCCTTCTCTTCAAATTACACATACCAATATAATAAAAGCTTTGTAAATTCTTCTCTACTATTAATAACCAAGACTTGTAGTGCTCAGGAATGAACGAATTAACTCATAAAGGATCATGTTTTCTAAGTCTCATGGGCATACCAACGAAACAAAGTCTTCAATTAGCTCCATATTATATTTTATGACTCTGGCTAATGTGTATCTCAAATATATTTATTTTAGATTCAAAGCCCTATGTGAGAGTTAGGGCAAAATTACAATAACGGACTAGTAGTGTCACACTTGAGAATGCTTTTGTTGGCTTGCATTTGAACACCCTATTAGAGTGTAGCCTTTTTTCAAGTAGAATGTGAGAATGAGTTATTTGAGTGTTTTAAAGTGTTGGAGAACTTAACTTTTTTTACAGAGATACCTTTCCATTTATTTTTAGATTTCTAATGGTAAGAAAACAGTTTTAAACAATCATCCCAATGGCTATTTGTACGCTTCTAATGGTTAGTTGTGACTATTTTAGCAGCTTATCTCAATAGTATTTCATCTAGTGCTGCGCTCAATTTTTTTCTATATGACTCAAAAGACTTTGTAAAAGAAAGTGAAAAATCAAAAAACCAAAAAACCAAAAAACAATTAAAAATACATAGGTAATAAATTCAAATCCTGATATGCTTAATACTCTAAATACATTGTTGATCTTCTGGATACGATTGAAATAATAATTAGTGATTCAGGGAAGCTAAATATTAATGTGTCAAGTATCTAGATGCTAGTTCAATGAATATATTTGATGTTAAATTTTCAATTTTCAATTTTCAATTAATTTACAGTGCACTATTTTTTCTTTATTAACTATGAAAACTATCAGTGCTTACAAAAAATGCCACTAATGAAAGTAATGATCTGGATATTGAATTTACATTAATGTTAATGTATTGACTTGAAAGCTCACTTAATATATAGTATACGTTAATGATTTCATAATATTACTTCTGATCATTTTTGATAAAAAATTAATTAGTTGAATACAAACTATACAAATGGCATCACAATTTTTTTCAATATTTTTCAATATTAATTAACTATTTGGGATATCATAAGTCGTTGAAGTAATGATGATAAATATTGATATGGAAGATACAATGTCTCTTTGATACAAATAGTTTTCTTTGAGAAAGTTTTTATTTAATATGATTGAAATCACTACTTTATTTTGAGATTTATTTCTAATGATTAAAAATCTTCTTAGATACTCCTAAATT